CCCCCGCGACACCCCCCGCTCCCCCCCGCCCCGGGCCGGGGGCCTCCTCACCGCCCAAACTCCGCGTAAATCTTTACAGAGATCCCCCGCCGCCCTGAATTACTCCCCGCTTGTGTTTAATGACGTTAAATGAGCCGGTTTCGCTCCCTCGCACGTGGCCGGTGGGAGATAATTGCCGCGCAGGAAAAGGCGAAGTTCCCCTATAAATTGCGGCGACGGCCGGAGCCCGCAGCCTGGCGGGCCCCCGCTTCGCCTGTGCCCCGGACGCGGGGCTGAGAGAGCACCTCCGGCACGGGCAAAAACCCCGCACCCGCCAGCTCCTTCCCTCCCGGCGCAGAGCGAGCGGTCCGGCTGGAAGGAGAGATGCTCGTAAGCTGCCCTCTGCACATTGCGGGGCGGGGGGATGCACCCTCTTCCTGCGGAGCCTACTTCTAGTTTATTTTTGCGGTGTGGCTGGGGGCTTCTTGAGCACGGGATTAAAGCAGCAGCAGGGCAGCTGGGAGCGGGACGGGAAAGAGGGGACTCTTCTCCCCTCTGGTGACTTCCAAGTCAGCAGCTCTCTGCGCCGGGTACGCGCATTTTTAACGTGCGCCGCATCCCTGTTATGTCGGTGGACCACTGCCCACCGCAGCCCCCGTTTGCCTACGAGAAGAAAGGGAAGGAATATAATCCTGATGGCGAGTGGCGAAGGGGCACGGGCTGTAGCGGTGACAGGCTCCGCTCCTTATCTATGAGAGGTTTGGAGCCGCGTCGGTCCGCTTAGACCTTTTTATTACCCACGCCCCGAATATTTCCATTACACACGGTCTGTGCTCCTCAGCTGATATGTGAAACCTGCTGCCTTATCGCTGTCTGCCGATTGATATTTTCTGTGTACAAGCCCAAGGCATTAAATCAATGTCTCCACTCTGCAGTGGCATATTCTCTATAGGCTAGTCTGCGGGAGACAAGTGAAGTCCTGCTGCAAACGGCCTTCGTCCTGTCTCGATCCGCACGAAGCTCCTTTTGGCAGAAGAAGCGGGACTTTAAAGAGGAGCCACCTGCCCGGACTCGGTGCCGAGCAACCCCGAGCTTGCAGCCCTCGGTGTCGGCCGGTTCAGGAAACGCAGAGGGCGAAGGGGCCGCACGGCCGGCTCACGGGGTACCCGGCCGAACCCGGCGTCCCGGGCACGAACCCCCGCTCCCTCCCGCTGCAGGACCCGCATGCGGCAGCCCGGCGGCACCCGCGGTAAATCTCCGCCGGGCCGAGCGCATCCGCGTAGCGCAACGCCGGGAGCGCCGCGCCCGCATCTCGGCCCCTCGCCGCCGGGCTGCCGGCGGCCGGGCCGGCCGCACCTGCAAAGCCCAGGGCGGAGGGGCTCCCCGATGTTTTTTTTTTTTCTCTCGTTTTTCGCTGGGCAGGACTTTGGTGAGATTTCTGGTGCGCTGGCTTGGCTCGGCTTTCCTAAATCGACCCTTAAGTTTAGGTCGACGCTGCTGTCCCTAACCCGTCAGGGGCCAATTATGTGACGATTATGAGAATTACACGGTTCTTTTATCCGGCGGCCGCGCACGAAGGGGGCTGAGCGCAGCGAAATCTGTTCACGTTTAACACGCACCCCCCCACACCCCCCCGCGCCGATGCCGCTTGCTGGGGACCAGCGCTCGCCAGCGCGGCTGCTGTTATTACCGGCGCCGATGGGAGCCAGGGCTGCAAAGCGGGAGTCGGGCTGGGAGCCCGGCCCGGCCTTCCCAGAGGCCCGGCGAGGTGGAGCAGGGCTAGGGATGGTCCCCTCGGGCGCCGTCCCGTCCGGCGGCGAAACGCCGGGTCTGGCTGCCCCCGGCCACAAAGCACCCGGGAGGTTACACCGCCTCGGGTGGCTTTTTCCCTCCCCCTACCTCGTGAAATAAAAAAAAAAACCAAACCCCAAACAAAACAAAAAACCCCATGCACACCCGCACACGCCGGCGGGACCGCAGCGCGGCACCCCGCACGCACCCCCTGCGGGCGCGTCCCCTTCCTTCCCTCCGCATGGGCTTGGCCGTACACATCGTTCCTCTTCACATCCACGCTTTAGAGCTAGGTTTGTTTTTCTGGCGGCTGGCTCCGTCCTCCGTAACCCGCCCCAGAAATTTTCAAAGAAAACAGCAGAAATCTTGCATTGTTAACATTTGATTTATTTAAAGTCCTTAACTGCAAATGATCAAAAACATACTTCACGCATTAAATTCTCAGTTATCGTTTTAAATCAAAATATTTTTTTCAATTACAATCACATTTATAAAATTAACAAAATTTCTTAAATTCACGTGTAATTCTTTTTTTACTGTCATTTAAAGCAATTTCCAGCTGTAGAGAAAGAAAAAAAATATAAACCATGCAATAAATTAAGAACATTGAGACAGCGAACAGGAATAATAATAAAACCCGTCTGGCTATGCTAACACCGTGTAAAACTGTGGAAAGTGCATTAACACTGGATGAAACAAGCTGACGATGGCGATAATTAAACGGCCACAAAAAAAATTGGATGTGGAATTTATTAAGCAAGTTGGAAAAGGGGAGAGAGACAGAGCTCTCCTCTTTTCCTTGCGTCGGTGTAATAGTCAACGTTTCCAGGGGAAGGGGGAAAATAACCTTGTTATAGATACACAGTTCTAGCTGGTACACGATGAAGACACTTAAATTAAATAAGCATGTCATCCAAATGTTGATGAGAGTTCCTGATGAACGGGAATCTTCAGTAACAGATGGGAAGGAAAAAAAAAATCCGACTGGTTGTGACCTCTTGTAACTTTATATTACATCCCAAGACAGGTAACACTTGGAAAAAAATAAGGGTCGCATCCTGCACTCCAAAGCTCCAGTTGGTCCCCACGGGAGTGCAGGATCCGGCCCACAGCATCTGGGTGTATGCCGGTTGTACTAGCCGAAGGTTTATTTTGCAAGTATCAAAAGGATGATCCGAGAAAGTAAATAGTCCTCTTGTTGCTTAGAGATTCTCTTAGTGTTTTGCTACTTCACAGCAGTATTGTCCTTCAAAGCCTTTTTAATTAAAAAAAGTCTTAAATGTCTACTCACTTCTTCATCTCCGTATTGTTAAAGTATTGCCACATACCTGTAAACTTACATGAGATTATAGAGCACAGAAGGGGGGAGACGAGGGGGGCAGAAAGCACAAACAAGTAGTTTACAAGCTCAACAATTTTTTCTTCTTTTTAATAACACCCTGCAAAGGCTAGGGGGGATCTCCGGGGAGAGGGGCTGGGCGGGGGGGACGGGGAGACGGGAGGGGGTATGTACAAGCGGGACGCGGCCGGCTTTGCAGGAGGTCATGGTGGATCATAACAACACACAACGCGTTGCGAGACAATTAAAAAGTAACAGTCCTTTGTACGCAGCGTGCGGAAACACCTCGGTTGCTCTCAGGGAGAGGGAAAGGGGGGAGAGAAGCCAGGAAAGGAGCTTGGAGGGGGGGAGGGGGAGAGGGGCTCACCCCAGCGGTGGGGGTGCAGAGCTAGGAGGTGTTTAGCACGGGTCTGGAATACACACCTTGGTAGTAGGAAGGCTCTAGGGCCGAGGGCTCGATGCTGCTCCGGCCCGCCATGGAAGCGCTGCCCAGGGGCAGCCCGCCAGGGATGCTGGCCCCGTAGGAGGAATATTGCAGCGCCTGCTCGTAGGCTTTGAAGTCCAGCTTGTGCTGCTGCTCTGAGGAGGACATGAGGTTGTTGATGGAAAAAGGGTGGTTGAAGGAGTAGTGGGGATCGCCCTTGAGGTGGAGCTGGGATTCGTGGGCTAAGGAGTGAGGGGGGTGCGGGACGGAGGCCAAGGCGGGGACGGAGCTGATGGTGGAGGAGGCGGCCGAGGCCGAGGTCTTTAGCTCTGTGCTCGATCCGCTGTGGTCCATAGACTGGGGGCTGGTGGACGGGTTGGAGCTAGAGAGGGAGGTGGCGGTGTCCAGCTGCGCCGGTTTATTGTGGCCTCTGTGCAGGGGGGAGTTGGAGCTGGAACTGGAGGCCCCGGCCTGATCTTTCCTTCCCTCCTGAGGGGCTTTGCTGTTCGCTGGCTTCTCGCACTTGAAGCGCTTTTGCCGGCGGAGGTAGCAGCCGTTTTCAAACATGTTGCCGGAGTCGGGATGCAGGGTCCAGTAGGAGCCCTTGCCAGGCTTGTCAGGGGAGCGGGCCACCTTGACGAAGCAGTCGTTGAAGGAGAGCGAGTGGCGGATGCTGTTCTGCCAGCGCTGCTGGTTCTGCCGGTAGTAGGGGAAAAGGTCCATGATCCACTGGTAGATCTCGCTCAGCGTCAGCATCTTGCTGGGTGCCTGCTGGATGGCCATGGTGATGAGGGAGATGTAGGAGTAGGGCGGCTTGGCGTGGGGGTAGCTCCGCTTGAATGTCTTGGCGTCCCGCGTCCTGCCGAGGTTGGACTGGGTGTAGGCCATGGGGCTCATGCAGGGGTTCATGCCGCCGTAGGGGCTCAGCCCGTTCATGGGGGCTGGCTGGGCAGACATGGCGTTGATGCCGCCGGGGCTCAGCGCCGTGCCCATGGCGGCCACGCTGGCCGGCATGCCGTTCACGGGCCCTGCCGAGCCCGCTGGCATGCCGGCCACGGCGCCAGGGCTCAGCCCGGCCCCCAGCCCCGTGTTGGCGTAGGACATGTTGAAGGAGCTGGAGGTCATGTTGCCACTCGTCGTCATGGTGTTCATGGTCATGTAGGTGTTCATGGTGTTCATGGAGCCCAGCCCTGAGTTCATGTTGCTCACGGGCACCGAGGAATAGGCCTAGGGCAACGAGACGAAAAGAGGGGGTTAGAGGGGAGAGAGGCGCGGGCAGGATCCACCCGTCCTGCCCGCCCTGCCCAGCGAGCCGGGCGACCGCCCTGCCGCGGGACGCCGTCTGCTTCCCCGACCCCCGGGAAAGCGCTTTCCAAAAGCCACACGGAAAGGCCTCCGGCTCGATGAAAAGCTCTAATTCACATTTATACGTGTTTATAAACAGACACGGAAGAGGGGGGGCTCGCTCCCGACACACTCCCGTTCTACCGGCGTGCCGTAGCTTGCGCCGGGATCACCGGGGCGCGCGGACCGACGGCCTTCCCGGAGCAGCTCCGCACCCCCGCAGAGCCGGGCTGCCGGCTTTATCTGCCCCGGGAGGAGGTTTTCTCCCGGAGTATTCCCGTGGTTTTGCTGATTTTGTGTCCCGTCTCGCTAGCTAAATATTTAAACTCATCGGATTATTGAAATTTACGGGCGCACGCTGACTGCGCCAAGGAGAAATTCAGCTGCCTGCACTTTCTTAGAATAAGCTCATATGCATCTCTCCCACCCTGCACTGATTTAAATTTCTATTCTTACATAAGATGCGATAATGTCTTGTCACAAAAAAAACCCAACCACAAAACCCCCAACAACCCAAAAAAACAACAAACCCCAACCCAAAACCCCCAAACCCAACAGCTCACGTCCGCGCATTTTATCTGCGGAAAGCTTCCCCCTTGTCTGCATTTTCTATCAAGTCAGTCTTTAAATTAAAGTTAAAAAAAAAAAACCACCAAACTTTCCCAAAGTACGAAAAGCCTGAACTTTCCTTGCCTGAGATCTTCTACAATTGCCCGACGTGCAGAAATTGTAGCACCCTACCGCATAACACAACTCTTAAAAAAAACAGAACCGGAGAGCCTGAAATCGTGCTTTCCAGTACGGCATCTGATTTAACAGGAGGGAGAAAGACGTTCCCCGTTTACCTCGAACAAAGGCACTACGGCTAAGAAAAGGAGGTTTGGGCGACGGTTAAATGTATAAAACTCATTACTGTTCACTACGAATTCCACGAGCTTCTAAATGAGCCTTTAATTTAGAGGATCACGTTAATTATTTGAGATGGTAGAACGCGGATGGGTTCCCCACCTTGCGTCCGTGCAGTGATTCAAATTAAATAGCAGGAGAGGAGAAAAGATTGAGGCTAAAAACCAGCAAAAAGCCAAGGTCGCTTAACTTTATGTTTGTGGATAACGAGTACGGCGAGGATAAACGGAGTCTGGAAACGGCACATAATTAGGATGACCCTTATTTGCCCTTAGCCGACTTTCCTCTATTAAATGCGATGCCAGCAGGGTGACACGTATCTGCCTGTGCCCGCGTGGCCCTATGGGCGCTGTGTGCCAGCTCCGGGGTGCAGGGACGAGGCGTGGGGACCGCGGAGCCCTGTGTCCGGGTGTGCTGATGCAATGCCCGGCTGCGCACACCTAGGTGCCCGCCTCGCTACCACACTTCCTTAAAGCGGCTCCTTCCCGGGCGGGAATCCGAGGGGCTGCTGGCGGAGCCGCTGGGCGCCGGCGCCTCCCGGGGACGGCCGCTGCAGAGCCGCAGCGGCACGCTGCGACCCGCGGGCCCCCGCAGGGCCGAGGCGCGCCGCGGGGAGGGCTCCGGGCGCTTCCCTGGCTCTCTCCTCCGCCGTAGGTGCTGGCGCTTGGGCCGCCTCTCCCCCTTCCTTCGCACCGTGTTGCCAAACGAGCGCGGGGGGC